TTCGTAAGAGGAGGATGTCTATTGGTTGCAGATGATGCCCCGTTTGATAAAAATGAACTCTTTTAAGATAGGGCCGCTTGAGTTAGGGGTCTCTTTGGCACTAATAGTTCAATCGAGTGCTCAGCTGTTTGTTGTTGATGGTCACTAAATAGATGCTGCTGCCTGTAAACATCTCTGTCACGTCATGTACTCTGAGCAAGACAGATGTGTGCGTCGGTCAGGGCACGAGCGTGCTTTGCATGTTTGCCTGAATGTGTGCAGGAATGTGTTGGTGCATGACTGAGGTGGACGGCTCGGCCATCCTCCAGACATTTTTTTTTTTCCGTTCATGCCTGGTGTCTGAATCACCATTTACAATGCCCTCCACCAGGTAGCGAGGAGGAAAAAGCAGGGGGGAAAAGACCAATTACCTTTCAGAACGCGCTATTATTATCATCAGAGAGGCGGCAGGCCTCCTGCCCACGAGCCTAATCTCATCCCCAGCGAGACAGAAGGAAAATCAGTCTCCTTCAGTCTCAGAAATGTTTATTTATGCCACAGGTATGCCAAAGGACGCAGAGAAGCCCTTATTACAGGTCATGACAGCAGAGCCACAACACATTACTCACTTTCTGTCCTTTAACCTGCCATTCTCTATGGGAACACTCTTTGAAGTCCACACCCTGCTGTAAAACATGCTCATTATTCAATTATGAGTTCTGTATTTAAAGCTCATTTTTAAAACACAGACGTTTAAGAAGCAACAATTGCCCTTATTTTCTTATGAGATGAGATTTGAGTGATTTCTGTTCTGTGCAAAGTTCAAATAATAAGCAGCGAGATTTGTCAACACGCAACACAACACTAAACATCATTTTTTAAATTAAAAACTAAAGTTAAACCAACAATCAAGTTAAAACTAAAAGGAAATGTCTTTTAAAAATGCACATAGAAGGGGCACTTACTACAGTAATTTTGGTCATCTTCTAACACCAAGCAACCGTTTGTTTTTCTCCTTCCACCAAGATGATGAGGCAACTGTAATTAAAGAAGACAATGATCAGTGCCAGCTTCTTGTCCTGGACGCCTTTGAAGTCATATTTCAGTGTAAAGTGAGCTGAAGCTGATGCCAAGGAGCACCCGTCATCGCCAGCTGCCTGACAGGCTGTCTCTCATCAGAATGACATCACGCCACTACTTGATTACTTTCCACAAACTCTTCCAGGCCTGAGAAGGTTTTCCCAAGGACCCAAAATCATTATTTCTGCTTTACACCCTTTTTAAAAGAGATTAAATGATCAAAAAGAAAAAAAATGTTAAGAATTAATAGGAAATATACATCTAAAAAAGTTGCTACAAAATGAATTCTGCAGAAATTTGTTAAAAATGCTGAAACTGAACAAAAAGAAGCTATAAACTAAAAGGAGCAAAACACTAGCTTAAAGCTAAATGTACCCAAATACTAGTAAAAAAACTAAAAGTGGTAAAAGGTTATCTAAAAGATAAGTATAGAGAAAGGTTAGCTAAAAAAAACAGGGATGTCAAACTCATTTTCACCGAGGGTCTCATGAGCGTTATGGTGGCCCTCAAATGGGCTGTTGGAATTAACCTTGACATGTCATGTTTAACTTTGACTAAACACAAATGTCACATTCCTCCTGTCATTGTTATTGAGCACCACTAACAAACAATAACTGAGCTCTATGGGGTGTTTTGTGCATGGAAACAGTGTTTAACACGTCCTCTTATAAACACTGAAAAATTCTATGTGCATGACTTAGTAAATGTGAAATAAATAAAAGAGAAATACTATTAAAAGTAAAAGAGTTTTACTCACTGATGAGCTGTGGCGAATAGCTGCCATCTTGAATTCTGAATTCTCCCACTTCCTGACAGGGAATTCCCATGCATAAATCAACATGCATTATGGGAGATGTAGTTTTTGGTCAATGCTGGCTTTAAAGCAGCTTGTTTTGAGACATTAATACAGGGTGATTGAACTGAATTGAACTCAGGGTGTTACAATTACTTAAAGCCAACAGCTCAGGGGCCGGACAAGTATTATTATCTTTCACTTTTTAAAGCTGTTAGTTTTGTTGCATTGAATCATAAATTTAAAGTTTACCATTGATATAAAAACTATCTTCAGATTAAATTAAGTGTTGTCTGGCCCACCAAAGCAGGCAGGACAGAAGTCACCCAGGTCTTGAGTTTGACACATGAGCTAAAAGCTAAAGTAGCAACTAGCTGGTAAAAGGTAAATGAAGCAAAAGGTTGTAGCAGGGTAGCAGAATGGTAGGTAAAAGTGGCAAAATGGTTAGCTAAAAGCTAAAGTAACAAAACTAGGTTAATTCTAAAAAAATACCAGAATGGTATCTAAAAGATAAATGTACCAAGAGAACAAAAATAGAGCCTGTAAGCTAAAGCAGATCACAAAAAGGAACTGAAGAGATTTTGACGCACTTGTGTCGGGCAAATGTTGGTAAGTAAAGATAAATATTTTAAAATTTACAAAAGCAAAATTTGTGGCACCCATATCCTGAATGAGCTGAACCTTTTAATGTATGAATGAATAAAATGAAACAACGTATGCAGAAGTAGCTATAACGCAAATGCTGACTCAGCATTCATGTAATAAACAGCTCAAGGGCACAAAAAGAAAAGTAAAAAATAAAAAACAACCATTCATTCAGCAAAGTAAACATTTTCCTTCCCTTCATTTTCCCTCAGCAGGGCGAGAAGAGTGATAAATTACAAGGTAGCTCATAGGTGTTTGCTTTTGGAAGAAACCGAGGAAGCTGCGACGTGGGGTGGATGTTTATAACCACCTTCTGTTCCAATGCTTTTACTTCCCCTGCGCAGCATCAGCTTCACAGGACTGTGGTCTGTCTTCACCTGTGGGTCTGGCGCAGACTCAACTCCCCACATCTTACAGAGCGTCCAGTTGATGTCTCAAGACTCAAGAGGGGAGTCTGCGCTCCACTGACCAACCTGGAAACTTGGGATTTTCAAAAAGAAGGCTTAATGTTTTCTGCTGGGTTCAAACAAATTACATGTAGGAAGTATTGGATCTAAACAAAAACCCTTTAAAGCCCTGTGCTCCGTTTAAATCTCTGTGCCATCCCGCAAAGATCTTAACTTTGGTCTTGAGGTCACCTATAGTCAGTTTTAGTAACATTTATTCAAAACAAAGAAACTTATCTGTTTAGGAATGTGCAACGCCCACTTCCCCTTCTCCTGTGCCAGGAAGACGGTGGTCATTTGTGGGAAGAAAGAAAAGTGTTACTCAAGCTTAGCTCACAAAAGACGACTAAGAAAACAACCATGACTGGAATACATCGTGTTTTTGGGATGACTAATGAGGAGATTGCTACCAGTGTCTTTTTGCTTTTCATGTTCTGATCATTACATCTTCAAACATCTTAAAAAGGAAAAAAAAAATGGATTATTTTTAGAGATCTCACGCCCCTTGTTTTATCATGTTGGATTTACATAAAAGTATAAAACTAACTACAAAGCAAGAATCCTTAGGTGAGGTTGAGACAAATAAGACAAAACATCAGAAGAAGAACATGAATTTCCCATAAAGTGAAGGCTGTCACATCTGGAAGACAGGTGTACGGTGCCTGCTGGATCAAAAATGCATCAATGAAATACCAGTTTTAGAGTCAGAAAAATGCACAACTGAATGAGACGGTCAAATAGACCTGTGACGGTTATCTTTGGAAAAAGTAGCAGGGAGACACTTTCATGAAAGGACAACTGTAACATGTCTGAAGCGTAACCTGTTCTCCAGCCCTGACTCTAAAAGCAGTTGTGGCCCTGAACTCATTACACCTTCAAAGGCAATTAACACATGGCTTTTGTTTGGGTCCGACGTATACCCCGGACCATAGCTACAGATGGTCGAGGGGTTGGACCAAAAAAAAAAAAAAGATACGAAGAGCAAGGTGTGCCTCAATGTGCTTTCATGTCAGCAGGAAGAGCTTGACCTCTGGCCCTTCTTGACCTCAAATCTAGGCTGTCAACACCACTTCCTTGAGTGGCCTGTAAAGCTAAACATGTGGACAGAGACAAGAAGGTCTTTGGACCTTTTAGTTGATGAACAAGTTGACCCAGCTGGCATCTTGGCTTTGCTTTTGCCAGTTATGGAAATGTGAGGTTCTGTAAGATCAAAGACGTTTTTATCAGTCTTGTGAGGGAAACAGAACATTAAGGGGAGGACGGTTTTCGTGCATCAGAACTTAAATAGATTTTCAGTATGAACAGGTTTTTGTCTGTCCAGTTTTAATGTTTTTTATTTTTTTAAACAGCTGCTTACTTTTTGAGGTGGTCGACAGCAACAGTTTTTCCAGGAAAGGAGACGTTTCTTTTGACCCTAAAACCACACGAAGAAGACCACTCAGATGAACCACGTTCCCTTTGAGTCTTCTGATCTGTCGCTTGGTGCTGCAAGGATGTGTGTCGTCGCATATATCCATCTGTTACACATTCAATCACCTTCACGTGCAATCAGTCTGTTGCACTAACTTGAGGGACATTATTAATGGGGAAACATCTCAATAGGCAATATACAAAAATGACTAAATCCACCTCTAAACTAACTGTGCGGTTCATTCATTCTGGCAAGCTTTGAAAAATATCATGAAACCCCATTTGCAAGATTTCAGCAGTCAGCAATGGCAACTTCTGGAAAATATTGTAGATGTAAATCAGAATTGAATTATAGACCCTAAAAGGAGGGAAAACAGTTTTTACTCATTTGAAAAGATCCTTTTTTTTACTTTCAGCAGCAGCTTTTTCCCACATAAACATATGAACTGATGACTAAATTACACATTGGGTGACACACAATGTGTGAAAAAATATGGACGTTTCATAAAAAGTGACAAACTTCTACTTTTTATGTTTTATTGTGCCAATAAGTCATCCTGGGTTCTTGTCCGTGTGTCAGAACTGCCTCCTTAGGCTGATGATTCCATTGGTTCAGAAGAAAGCAGAGAAGGGAGATGTGGATTTCAAGACAAAATTGGGTTTCCCAAACTATTTCAGAAGCGGCCAAAGTAATTCCAATAAATGAGTAACTCATGGCAGAGGGGTTTCTGACGGCGAGGATGCTTTCATGGTGGAAAATATGGCTTCACGTGGTCCATTTGATGGATTCGAAGTGAAGCAGCTGTAAACTCCACAGCACACGATGTCAGTCCGAACCATCAGACAGCGGCAGGTTTTTCTCTGCTTCTGCGAGCATCAAACACTAAATCTTCAACGGTTTCATATGAATTTCCCAAAGCAGATATATGGATCTGTGGGCAAGCAGCCTGTCTCAGGAGTGTGTTTGATGATGGCATTTTATTGTTCCAGAAGGTCAAGATCTTCAAAGCTCTCCTTCTGTTCTCCGCAGGGCACTCGGGCTGCAGCTGTCAGCATACACTCGGCTTTGTGTTTTTCTATGAGAGAAGAGGTAGGTCAAGCCTACTCTCACAGAAATGTTTTTACTGGTGGTGGTGGTGGTGGTGGGGTGCTCAGTGGATGCCATAATATTGTTGTTCTGCCCTTTTGTGCTGAAGAGCGGGAAGCGTGTGAATCCTGTCGGATGGGACGTCACCACCGCCGTGTCTGACGCTGATCAAATAGCCTTTTTGGCACGATTCAGCACTGTGCCCGTGAGTGTGAATGAATGTGTATGTGTGTGAACTGTTACAAACAAAACAGAACACCTCTTGGGCTTTAGATCAAATGTCTTCCCCTTTGTGTTCCTGTGAAGCGCTCCGTAAGATCTTTCCGACCAACGCCAAACCAAAGTCTTGCACAACTGACTGTATTTTCAAAACGTTAGCAGATAATCTAACCTGGCATTTGCTTGTTTTAGAACAATAGTTCCCAAACTTCACAGCTTCATGTTTTGTTGAATCTCTTGACATCGGGAAGATGGTTTCATTTCAGTCAACCAAGGTTGTTAATTGCCATCAGTGCTCATCCGAACAAGAGAAATATATATTTTATCTTCATTATGTTTGAGCATATTTCAAATGGTGATTACAATTGATTGATATTTAATCATTTTAAAAACGCAATTTAGTGCTTCATGGCCCTCAGAGGGATCCTAATAGTCTCCCACCTATCAGAAAACAGAAAGCCACTAAAGATGAGAAATTAAGTGGATTTTGTGGTCAACAAGGTTCCTCTTGACCACCTCTGCTCTCAAGCTGACCACCCTGAAATGCTGACTTTTCCTAACGTCGCTGTGATGTCGCTCCACCCTTATCCGTCGACAGGACGTCGATGAAAAACTGTCCTCTGATTTCACCACCTGTGCTCCCATCCAGCAAGCTGAAGAGGCTCCCTTTTAAACTCCACATGAAGCTGAACGTGTAGTACCGATATGGTCTGTGGTTTGTTTCTGGAATGTTGTTTTGAACTTACTTCAGAGCTAAGCATCACCATCCCCGCGTTTACGTATTTTCCAGTATTCTACAAATTTTGACCCCAATTTTCCCGGGAGTTCATGCAAATGTGTCGTACGGTGCAGTATCAAGAGAAAAACTGCATATTTTTCCAGCAATTCTGTGTCTTCAATTAGTCGCAGACCAGCAATATGCTACTTTTTTTTTTTGCTCGAATAGATTTAATTGCAATTTCTTTTCATTTTAAGTAATGTAAAACTCAGATTACATGTTATTCAACAGGATCAGTGTATTAGCCTTTGATGCAGTAGGATAAAAAGTACACGATGCAAAAAAAAAGTTTTGCTTGGATATGATCAGTTCTGTTGCAAGTTCACTTGCAAAAGAGTGGGACACAGTAGCAGCAGGGGTTTAGCGTTTAAAGAAAACACTGTCACTTTGATCATTTCCTACTGGACTTTGATGTCAGAAATCTTGAAAGGGTTGATAATGATGTTTAATTGATTACATAGCATAAACAAGCTTGGTTTTTCTCTCATATCATTCATTCCTCCCCCGTTTTCATGTGTTCTCTCCGAAAGAAGATGGCTAGCATGCCATATTGCCCTTTCTCTTTCTTCTTCTAAAACAAACAAAGACGTCAAACATCAAAGGCGCTCTTGGTTAATAAAAGAAGACCTCAAATATTTTCCATTATGTTTAACATGGTTTTGGGTTTCGCCGAGGAAAAGAACAACAACAGGACGGAACGGAATGACGCCTTTTTGTTGTGCTTCATTTCTGCCTTACAGAAGTTAAACAGACCGTGTCTTTTGATCTCATTGGCTCTAATTATTCAAAGTTATCTTTTTATTTTCTACTTCTCTTTGGAGACATAAGTCCCCTTACTTGTCCATCCCTCCATGCACTCTTTTTCTCTCTGTTCTCAATGTCCCTTTCCACCCTCCTGATTATGATAGGCCGAGCTCCTGGCTAAAACAACAGTCTGCCAGAGGACTGCGCTCCTTTGAAGTCGACGTCAGTCAGTTGTGTTTCTGTCTTGCGCCAGAGTACCGACCCCTGACCTGCAGTGATTACTTCCCGTGGCGCAGCCAAGCAGAGATAACTGTAAATGCAGGCCTTTGATATCCACTTGAGAGCAGGAGGCTGAGCCTGAAGGGGAACACAATGATGCTCAGGCATCTTTGCATGCGTGTGCACATACGCGCAAAGATACAAAGACAAGGCAGCATATGGCAGAGACCAAGAAACTGGGCACAACTTCCTGATTAGAGCTATTGTCCTTGATTGTCTCTGAATCTAAAGAAGAGAAGCACGAAAATCACTTGGCCAGGTTTTAAAAAAAACATACATGGTTAAAGTTGGGGAAGGAAAGATAGCTTTATCTTGAGTTAAATACAACACTTTCGTTATTTAAAATCTATAGGAGACTGTACTATACACCTAGCTGTTAGATAAGCTTAGAAGAAGTGAAATACAGGAAACAAAATCTAATTTGTGGAGAAACAAAGCAATGAACACAAAATGTTGCTGATGATGCAGTTGTTTCTAGCTGGAGTCACATTTTGAGGGTTAATAAACAAAAAAAGATTCAAAAATATAGAAATCTTTGGTCACATGTTCGTCAGATGGCAGGCTTAAATCACATCTGCCAAAGAGCATATCCATTTTTATGTGCGCGGAAATGTAAACAGTTGTAAATATTTAAGCTGCAATCAGTTCGTGAGGCAAACTGGTTGTCAGTTATAAAGCTGTAAATTTGTGATATTTACAAACTGCAACAATCAATCCGACTGAGAGGTTTTGTGTGCCCGACGCTTATGGCTCAGACATATGCAGTCATGACTGACTGGTTGACGACGTGTTCAGCTAAACAAGACCAGAAGGGAGCAGATTCTCATGTCAGGGACAGATGAAGATGAGCAGATGAGAGCTATCGATGGGAACTCACTCTTGTTCTTCATTCTCAGCTGTAACTGTGTTTATTTATTAAGTCGTTTTATTATTTTTTTCTATAAGACAAGAAAAAAAGGGATGCTGAAATGAATAACTTGGTAAAGTTGAAAATAATAAACCCAAAGCTAAAATACTCTTATTTCCTTTGTTTTTATTCAAGTCATAAAATAAATCAATGTCCAAAACGTGAAGGCCTTCATTCGATCAACAATAACTTTTAACATTTAAACATTTCTACTTTCAAACTTTGAAATATTAATAAAATCACAACTCCCTGCTCAAATTAAACTGTGCGGTTTCATATTCCGTTAACAGTTTGGCACATTTTACCTTTAAGCTGATTTATTACTTTCAGGAATTACATGGTAAAGATCTGGGGTTTACCTTCTCTGCGGTCCTTGTTACTAAAAGAGTTCAGAGTGTTTTTATTCCAACTGAGTAACATTATTCAGCAAACTAATATATTTTTCTAAAAGCAAGATGTGGTAAGAACTGAAGCTGCAAGCTTTATGAATTGACAATGATTTATTTGCTAAAAGTTCAAATTTGAGTGTAATAATTACAAATCAGGCATGATTAAATGGGGGAAAACTGTTGTAACTCCATATAAAGCAGCTTTTTGCAACTTTAGTTTCTTATATTTTTCATATTTTTCTCATCGAATATGAAATAGAAAATGCACTTCTGCTGTTTCTGACATCTACCTCAGGAGGGAGCTGCAACTGCTCAGGATTTTGCCTTAATTTCAGTCATAACCTGTCACCCTCTGTATTTGGTGTGCAATACTTTGTTCCTGTTCACAGCTCTGTTCGTTAAACTACATTAACATTATGTCAATAGCTTTTTATTTAACAGTCTCTATTGCCTTTTAGATAAAAAGAGTCAGAAGATGACAAATGATTTTTAATGATGGCAGTTTGTGTCAGATTATTTCTTTTTTTTTTTTTTTTGCAATCGTGTGCGTCATGAGAAACTCCACACCTTTCTGGTATTGTCTTTGTTTTCATGTTTGTTCGGGGTTTTTTTTTCTCTTCAATGTGCTGATTTAGTGCACGAGTTGGGCTGACAGGGCAGTGCACCTCTTTCATGTCCCTTCTGTAATTACTTAAATTAGTCATGCGAGAAAGGAGGGTTTTCAGCTGCCGTCTCTTGGATTATAATTTACTCTTAAACTGAGATAGACTCTGCTGTGTCCGCGGCACATTCATCATTTTTATTTTGGCCATTTCATCCCTTTGGTAACCGGATGAAAGACACCTAAAAGAAGTCGGTCCCTTCGGTCAAATATATTTTATTAGGTTGTTGCTGGGATTTATTAGTTTTAAATGAAGCTTCTTTTCTCAAACAGTGGCACGTTGTCTGCCGCCTTTGAAATGTAAATAATGTGGCCGCTCCCTGACTACACCTCCCGTGTAAACAGCTGCCGCTCCACCACCGCCGGCCCTCCACTGATGCAAACCGTTTTTAAGAGTAGGATCGGGTCAGGGAGAGGGGGACCACTCGAGGAGACCTTACTTGGAAAACCTCTTTCATGTTGTGGAAAAGTGATGAACTTCTGTTGTAGTTTATTGCTGGTGTGATTTTTAAAAGCCCCCCCACCCCACCCCCCGCTCTTTGAAGTCAGAATGGGCCTGGTTTTGTCTACAATGTCACCGAGTAGAGGACCACAGCCCGTCTGTTTCTTATCTGCCATTGGAACAAGACTGAACACCGATTCTGGAATCAGGTGCTGAATAAGTGATGTTTGGCTTCAACTCATTTAAAATAAAAATAATAAAGATCACTATTGTAGAACACTGAATAGCATTCCTTGATTGAATGCATTCGCCACATTGCCTGGCAACAGTTTAAACAAAGTTGTCATGTGGTTTAGTGCTCAGAGAGTAAAGGCTGAGGTAACTCTCAGCTACTACCAAACCAGATTTTACCTCAATATCTGTTAGATTGAGCCACTTCTGTGTTGCTTGTCTTGGCGGCCACCTTGGACTGAGCTTATAACGGTAATAAGTTGTAGAAGTTCAATAACATTTGTTCAGTGATTTAAGAGATATTTTGCTAACAGGCAGATGAACAAGACATGTTATCTTCTGCCTTTCATGACACCAGAAGAAAAAAAAATGAAACTGCAGGAGAGAAAGAAGAAATGAAAAATGAATTGTACTTTTAACATATCGACACACTTCTGAAAAAAATTTTTTTTTCAGGAAATTCAGAAAACATGATCAACAGTGTGCCTTAACATGTTTTTTAAGATTCCTAACAAACCGGGGGGGAAAATGAAAATAAAAAAAGACTTAGGCAAT